GGGCGCGAAAACGGACAGAAAGGAATAAACACCTAAATTGACGCAAAAAAAAGACTAAACAAAAGGACGAAAAGAAGTATAAACTAATTTGCGTACGCAGAGGAAAAACAAATTACGCAAGAACGAATAATAGAAAAAATGTTACACTTGGATCTTACATATACTACAAATGCATTCAATGCTTTATTTACTCTAGACAAGTAATACACATTTGCAAAGAAAATTACAATAACTGAGGGAAAAGATATGTGCTTAAAGTCGAGCCAGGGGAATAAATGCACCTTGCGGTTCAGTATGATAACACCAAAATTTAAGAACGAAAATTCAACAGGCTGAAGTTCATAACTCAAGTGTACATTGTACATTGAAATTTTGTCCTTTATAGTGTTGAGTTCAAGTACTTACATTTGCTTGTAGCCCTACTAATTTATAAGGACTGAAGTTAACTGACTCTTTCCATAAAACAATGCGAGTCCATTCATAGTTTGTGTCCAGACGTAGTCGTTCGAAATTAGTACATGAAGCTGTAAGTCACCTTACAACTCCATTGAGTCCGTTAAATGACACCACTTCTTAATAGATCCACGAATGAGCAACACTGCCATCAAAACAATTCAGTTTGTGAGTAAATTGTGTCACCTCCTCTTGGACAAGCTCGACAACGCCACAAAAATCAGAGCTCACTTGAGCCTGCTGTGCTATATGTGACTACCCAGCGCTTCAGTATGTATATATATATAATTAATACTTTCTCCTCACGAAATCTGATGAACAACTATCACAGTGTGATAAGCGCTGGCCTAGCGTGCGGGGCTATGGGAGTTTGAATCCTAGAGGTGACTCGAGATTCTTTTTCTTTTTCTTCTTCGATGTTTTTTCTTTTTCTTTCAAGACATCATTTACCGAAAGGTAGCGTTTGTCTTTCCGTTTCTTGTGTTTAAAAAATCGTCTGGAGCTTTTAATCATTTGCTTATATCGATTGCTTTCGAACTCACAATATCACATAGCTTTGTGAAGGAAAGCCACGAAAACGTTTTCTAAATCGAATCGCTAAGGAAGAACCATAAGAATTTTCCTTACAATGAAAAAATTGTTTCACCTTCTACCTCTCGAAAATAACTAACTTGACACGGTGCACACGACTGTAAAACAGAGTAGACCGCGGATGTTTGCAACCCGATGGACTCCTATTTGAAAAGGTCGGGGATGCTCGTCGTCTCGGGTACAAATCAAGGATTCTGACCTCACTTTTAGCTGTCAAAGTATCCTTCAGGGCACACTCGAAGAACTAGTAATAATGAAAGAAATACTCTCATTTAATTTCTATTTTTAGGCTTGATTTCCAATGGTCTCTGGATTACATGAGTCGGGTCTACGAGTGCGCACGAGATCCTTACTTGAACAGTGGCTAGTAATCGAACCTATTCCGTTTTAAGGGGTATCTTTTGGGGGTCTAACGAAGCTCAAGCAATGCCCACATTAGTCTCCTTTAGGAGTTAAATTCAAATTTTTCCGACGAGAATCCCCATCTTTTTCATATGGGAGTTTCCCCCCAGGTTTCCAAATGTCAGGGAGGACGTGAAGGAGTGAAGGAGTGATGGAGTGAAATCATGCCACCACTACAACTTGGAAAATAATACTTTCCAAACTAAAAATGAGACGATATGGAAATTTGAAATAAATTATCGCTTTGGTAGCCATTCTGTTCACAATGGTTGGCCCTCTCGTGAAATACCCTGGTCAGCGAAATTACCACCCAAAAATTGTTTGCGACCTATCAACTGACTAACTGACTGAATGACAGACCGAGTGAGTGAATTATTTCTTCCTAAACTAACTGCTACAAGTCATTCTAGCTACGCTATGCTAGCTATCACTCGTTAAAAATGAGTTTAATTTGCCTGTGGATGAAATCTCGTATTCATATGAAAGGATGGGCACCGCTTTGAGAAAGAGGCTAAAGGTAATTCGGAAACGGCCTATAAAACATTATATATTTAGTCAGTAATTTGGTTCACAAAAAAATGATGTGCTGCATTCAATACTAATTACGACCTGATTTCTTCCCCAACTTCCAAAGGAAAAGGAAATTTAACAAAGACAGCCAGACAGAAGGCCACTAAGCAAATGGACAAAAAGTAGTTTGGTTGAAAACAAATTGAAGTGACACCTGATGCATTGAATAAAAGTAAAAAGATACTTACCCTCTGATTGGATCCCCAACATCCACATGAAACAAAAAATAAAAAATAAAAAAAACAGAGGAAACTAAATTATTAACATGACTTAATATTTTATTCCTTTCAAGAAGTAAATCAAAGAAAAGAAACAGAAGGCCACTAAGCAAATGGACAAAAAGAAGTTTGGCCCAAAAGAAACTGACGTGATTTGTGAAGCATTGTAACGACCGCTGAACGGTCTATTGTAGTCTTTACTTAACCGCCACGTTTCCGTTTTTTGACATGATTACAATTAAGTCATTTATTTGATCTCTGCTATTAAGCACACGATAACTTAGTTTCGAGCAGTTGTTGCCAGCCCTCGTGTCATACACTTAAGGACCTTAATTAAGAAAAGAGAGCAAGAAAGCAAGAAAGAAAGCCACAGGAGGCAAGCCGCAGGACTGATATGTAAGTGAGGAAACTTCTACCTTTATAATTAACATGCAATCAATTTAGGTGTTTCAGTTTCTCGTTTTATTTTCCATTGTAAATGATTGCATGCCTCAGTCACAATGATCTTTACGATTGTTTAAGCCCAGTTTTTATCCCAACATTGTTCCACCATATTGAATCCTTTCAAAAGTGCATCACACGGTATGTGAACGAGGAAGTAAAATTTTGCCTGGGCAAGTATGTCATCTGACATACTTGCCCGGCTGACGACTTTGAGAAAATACCAATATGGATCCCTGCTGTAGCCAATTCAGCCAGCAGTGTCTGCAAAAATGTGAATTTGAGAGGAAGGCTCAGTGAAAGGGGAAAAAAACGGCTGACCACATTCCCGTGTTCAAGGAAGAGTTGCCACATACGGATGTCCAACTCTTGGTTGAGGGAAATAAAGTGCCCCGGGTTGCAGACCCCTCAAGTGAGATTGATGATCCGTTGCATGAGGAGGTGACTCTAGGAGATAACTCGACAGGCAAACTGTAGAGTTCCAATGAGGGACCGAAGGTCACACAGACGAAAGGTTCTTTTAGAGGACCACGAAACAAGCATAAGGCGGGCATTGTGAAATTTATCTTCCGGTAGCCTTGTCTCCATAAGGACAGAGGATTGTGTTATACTCATGAACTCGAGGACCTTGGTGGGACGGACGGTCTTCTTTGGAGCAAGGAGAATGCTTAACAGTCACTGACCGGAAATATCGAGAATGGCTGGCCAGGTTAGAAAAATCGGAAATCCTGAAAGTTTGTCTAAAGAACGCTAAAGGGAGCTACTTTCGAAAATATTATTCCGATTTTCTTAGAATTTAAAGTATTCGAGAAATTCGCAAAAAA